CTATACATTAAACCACAGATCTCTTTAATTTGTTAAAAAATTTAAGGAAACTGAGAAACTTCTTCAGCTGGTTATGCACTGAACATTTGATCACTTTCTTCTCTTCCAATTAGCTGACCAAAACTTTCTCAGCAGTTCAATAACTTTTTACTAAATTCTACATCTTCTTCTTAAATTCCTTGCATGACTATATAAATCTATTTGGCTAATTATTTCAGATCAACTTTTACTGAATCCTATTTTTTTAATAGTTCTTCAGCTCTTTTCAAGCCCTTTTCTAGTGTCTTTGAAGACCGAGACTTTATCGTGTCTAACTGCGCTGGACTGGTGACTGTAAAAGTATCGCTCAGTTTGCGACCACTTTTTTATGTCCAAAAATTTCTAATTAGTTTTGCTGCTCAAGCGACTAATTTAACAGCTAAAAATCTTCACTCTTTTTCACGTCAAGGAAGACGAGAAACTTTACAGTCAAAGCACACAAGAACTTACCACAATACAGGCTTCAAATATCCCTCACATAGTGCAGAATATGACAGAAATTTTAAATGCGAATACTCAGACAGATTCAACCAGCAGAAATAAGGCATGCACGAATTGCGCATCTTGCAGCACCGATATGGTTTTATTTTACCGAAGGTGGAAGGAAGGAAAGAAGGACCTAGTTTCTGTTTCCCCTCAGCTTGTGAATTCTTTTCTTCCTGCCATTGTTGTCTACAAATTTTATGCTCAAAGTGAAATCTCATCAAAGGTGGCTCTACTGATCGCCGACATTATATAATTGTCTTGTTAGGTATTGCATCACAACAGCTGGTTAAAAAATATGCTGTTTAAAGAATATTTACCAGATTTTAAAGAACTACCACATAAATAAAATTTTAAGGTGGAATGTCTACACAACGAAAGAATGGAAAATAAATCGCTTGTCGGAGTACAATTTTTGGACGAAGCAGGTACAGCACTTGCCGTTGCAGCTTATGATCATTCAAAATTATCTTTTTACGAATTCAGTGATGCCAGGAAAGCTAGTGTTGGACTGTGAAATCAGTAACATTGAATTTAATAAATATTAATAAGGTATTTTCCATTTTTCTTTGTCTATTTTCTACAACAATACTATCAGTCGAGTTATACTTTAAGCAGCTATAATCTTCAAAGTAGCACTGTAAACATCAAGTACATTTTTTCCCTCTTGAAAAAGTGGTTTCAGTAGTTGTATTATAGCTGATAGTAAACAATTATGTAGTAGTTATTTGAACCTTACGGTTGACAATTGATCAGTACCAGGCATCGTCTGTTTATTATTTTTGTCCTAATGTAATTTTCTAATTACTCTGTTTTCAGTGATTACTCAAAGCAGAGCTGGAAAAAATTCTTAAATTTTAATTTGCTGATGAAAATTTTCACTGCTTTACACCGTCAATATGCTTGATAATAATTAGATGCTAGCTTTGACGCCTAAAATGTATTTTTGCTTTCACTAGCGCAAACCCATTGATGGTTCAGACTTTGCCACTGTTATTGTGGTTCGTAAAATGGACTGAATAGGTGCAGATAAAGTTTTGTTCCAAAAAAAGAAAACTAGCAAAAATCTCATTTGTTTATTGTCTCAGAACCTGTCTTTTTAATTGAACTCTGGCACTAACAGACCAATAGGCCATTGTCGTCTATATAAAATAGTGATGTGAAATTGACTTGAGTAACCAGAAATAATGTGTAGGGATATACGTGCAGAAATCTTTTCATTCTCCCGGCCTGCAATACATTGGCAAATGTTGCTATCACTTTCAACCGGATATAGACTTCTGTCCACTCCAGCAGCTTTAAATATGAAATATTACCAACGAGGGCTATGTAACGACGGCTTTCCGAAAATTGTAAAGCCTTTGAAGAGCGCTGTACCAAAACCATCACAACAAAATGGACATTCTCTAGTGCCATTTGCAAAATTTGCGTTTTAGAAGTTCAGCTTTTTGGGCACACTTTTTCCACATGAACAACGCTGCAATTATCAGGTGCAAAAATGATTTTTGAGACCCTTTCACT